GCATCTTATTCTACTAGCAGTATCATCACCTTTGAATGCAAGCTGAAGAAAAATAGCCTATTTCTCTACTGTGCTGCTTTTCACTTTTTCAACATAACGTCTCCCATGCTTGTCGATGAACTTTTGTGGGTATTTGTTGTCACGTAGGCATTTCTCCACAATGGATAGCTCTTCCTCAATCTTTTCTTGTGAACACAGTTTCTTCACACGATCAAATAATGTTCTCACCAATCTCTTTTTGTAACTTATAGGGCAGAAGCTTTTGATGTTAAGATAAAGCGCCCTCCAGGTCTCCTTTCTGTGTATATATCTTATGATTTTGCCGTCAGTATCTCGTTGGATAACCAAGTCAAGAAAATGGAACTTCTCCTCTTTTTTCATACTCCATTGTAAACTTAATATTAGGAGTTGAGAAGAATTCTCGATTAAATAATAAAAGATGAGCTCATATTATCCTGGTACAATTGTTGTTCTTGCTTTGTTCAAGTTTATTAATGGGAAGAATTGCATGATATTTTGTCTGCTGACCTAGACGAATTTTAAGGTGGCTAAAAATGTATAAATATGCTGTGTTAATTACTTAATACAGGTTCGTTACTAACTCTCATGTCTTTTGCCGTAACATTGGCAAAAGCTGCTGCGTTTTATCTTTCATGTTTACCTTAGAGAGTCTCTCACTCATCCCATGGGCAGGTTTTGATCAACACACACACACCTAGACAGTGGCGTTGTTTACTAAACCTGCAAAATAATAATAATATACCATGTTTTATTAACACTGTATCATAGATACAAAATAACATGTGTAATTTATTCATTTGTTTTTACCAGTAAACATCTGGAATTACAACGTGTTTAGTCTGTATCGAAAATCAACTATGAAACTAGCTAAGTGCTACATTGTAAGAATGTTGATACTGGCTAACACACATGTCTACCTGCATACATTACCATCGTATAAAAAATAGAATTAATTTATGCAAGATCAGATTAGCCAACTCCAAGTTGATCTAAGCCGGTTATGCCAAGTTAATGACACCACTCCAACAAGTCATTCATTGTCTGTATGGGAGCATACAATAAAGGGCTTGATAATCTACCCGTCTAAATGATTAACTCAGATGCATTTGACTCCTATTTTGTAAGTTTTGGCAATGTCTATTTGTGTATCCTTCACTTTTTTTTGCATGTCTTTTGTGTTTATGTTCATAGCCTTGTGCTCCTGATGACGCGTTTTTTCCGTCTTCTTTGCTCTAAAAGTTTAAGTAATAAAAGGCAGAAATCAAGGTTTTTACGAGTTGATCACGGCATCACTTATAGACGACGAAAATCAAACCCAATGGGTGATCATCATTGTTAAATACCTTGATTTCTTTTCTATAGTTTGGTTTGTCAGGGTTAGTTATGTTTTTACGAGTTGACCACGGATTGATATATCAGTTAGAGAACCATTGCAAAACTTCCAGGGAGTAATGGACAGCTGTTTCATCCTAGTTTGGGAATCATCGGCAGTAAGATGAAACAGCAGCTGTCCAGTACTCCCTGGAAGTTTTGCAATGGTTCTCTAACTGATATATCAATCCGTGGTCAACTCGTAAAAACATAACTAACCCTGACAAACCAAACTATAGAAAAGAAATCAAGGTATTTAACAATGATGATCACCCATTGGGTTTGATTTTCGTCGTCTATAAGTGATGCCTGGTAAGCTGTGATTTAATGAGTATCACCATTATTCCGTTCTATGTAGGTGTATCGAATGGAATATCACTAAATGAGATGAGAATTTGTCTTGGATTCTAAGAAAAAATCACGGAAATATTTATAAAATCGAACAAAGGAAGTGTGTACTTCGCAGACTTCCTCTCTATCCTTCATAATGGCTATGATATGGCTAGTGAAATTGAAAGATATGAAAAGGTTAGCTGTCTTCGACCAAAGATATTTCGTTCTGTCTCCTATGTTAAATGGTACAATACGGCGAATAATATTGAGACAAGAAAGGGAAGTTAATCGATCAGGTTATGAAGCTACACCTATTGAGATGGGTAAGACAAGTGCTACGCATACTTGGCCATCGCCTTCTTGTCCAGCAATGTTAGCTGACACAGGATTACGTTGAAAAAGATTTAGGGGTGATCTAATCAAAACATGAAATCAATTCATAATCTTTGAAAATTATTTTGGAATACATAAGGAGGCGTAGACTGACTAGTTGGCGTCCTTAGGAGGCAGAAAAACAACAGCTGAAAATCATTCTCAGTGACTCAGATGTATTCACTCTTCGTAATCTCTCAGATTCATTAAATCCCCATGTAATTATTCTTTCTCTTCTACATTTCTGCTCATCATAGTCTTTTTGAATTTTCCTTTTTTCCATAATGGAGTGTGGTATCTGGAACTGTTCAACATCTGCGCAAAGTTCTGTGTTGAAAATCGGTCAAGTCAGATTTATGCTGGTTGTATAAGATAGTTTGAGAAGTCTTTCTCCATTCGCTATGAATTTATAACAGTTCATGACTGTTCACTTTTTAGGTTTTTCCTGTGGATATATATAAGTATAAACCTAGTGTCTTCTGTTTTTTTTTCTATTTCTTTATATTCCCAGTGGAACATAGGGCTTCAAGCTAGAGTCTTGAATTTTCGGTAGCAGTGGTGTTTATTTTTACAGGATGGGGTTGCTAGCCACGTGCCCAACCTTCCCTCTTTACCAGCTTCATGAGTGGCTTCGAAAGGTAAAGGAGTGCGTCTGTGGCCGGGGATCGAGCTCCGGACCATGTGCATGGTAGGCAAGCGTCCTAATCACTATGCCACCGACGCACGTCTTTTGTTTAGTTAGCAGAAATAATACAGCTGAGTGGCTGGAAACAGTTAACGGAAGGCTTTGATCTAAGTCTCGTGCTTGTCGGAAAATGTCAGTATGGCATATATGATGCCTCCTCTGAGATTCTGAGACGCGTCACCCAGTGTGGTGCAGTCAAGAATGTTATTGCCGATTTATCTGAACTGCTAACAACTTCCTGTAGGAATGTGATGGATAGACTTGATTTCGAAGTAAAACGGAAGAGTCTTAGACACACAAACTATTTCTGAAAAAATTAATAAACTTTTTGACAGTATCTGATCTACTTTGTGCCTCTTAATATCAGCTTTCTTTAGTAATCTTTTCCACCTTACAATAATCTCGTTAATCAACTATATATGTGGATTGACTGAACGATTTATAGTGTCACTAACTACTTTTTATGTCTAATATGAACATGGATGTACAATCTTAAAATGAAGTTAATTAAAACAGAACAAATTGGCTAGTGGAATCTCTGTAAGTAAACGTACAGTGTTGTGAATGAATCAGCTACATAATAAATATGTCAGTAAAGGTGATAACCCGTGTGGGTCAGCGTTGGTGGCTCAACAGTAGGATGCTTGCCAATGACGCGAGTGGTCCAGAGTTTTATCCTCGACCAACCCACTCTTAAGCCTCCTTAAACCGGTTGGACATAAGGCTCCACACCTTACATCTTAGAAACAAGACCACCGCTACCGCTACTTCAAAGCTCCAGCCTGAGGCCCTATCTTCCACTCCGAGTGTAAAGGAATGAGGGATAGTGCATGATATGCATACAGCTAAATGTACAATTAAAAGAATAGCATACTTTGAACGAATTCCGAAGAAAACATTGCGTATTCAGCTTTATACTACTTACGTATTATAAGTAGCGTAAATCTAAACATGAAATTCTTTAAAAGGTGTAAATAAAACTGAGAGCTCAACATGAGGAAATGAAGCTTAATCATAATAATGACTTTATTCTGTACAATGTTTTAATATATATCACTGACTTCTTAAGACGTTCTACTGAAATCAATTTACTCCAGATGTAGAATCTTTGAGTTAATTACTAATTCATCAATCCGAAACACATTCTAATAACCTGGTATGCTTTTTCTCCATTTTTTACGTAAAATCCAATAGCGATAAGTTGAAACGTATTTGAAAATGTGTGTTAGTACAAGTTGTGATTAAGAGATTCAACTGGATAAATAAAACAGCAACATGAAAAAGAGTAAAAAGGATACATTTTGATGTTTGGAAAATTAGCTAACCGAGTGATATAATCAAACCGCCCACATTTGAAAGACTATAGGTATCAGACGACTATTGAAACAGATTTTCCCTTTTTTTTCCATTCCCTAGACTTCCAAGTAGAAAACACCACTTCAGTAGCGGTGGTGTGGGACTATTAGCTTCACACCCAACCTTTCCTCTTTTCAAGGCTTCCCAACGATTAGCGAACTAGGTTGTTGAAAAGCAAATGAGTTGGGATTCGAACCTCTGTTGTAATGAAAACAAAGCCTATATAATACAAATACTAATCAATGTTTTATTTTCTTTACTTGCAGGAAGATACTCGAAAGTCAATCTATCTGGATCAAGAGAGACAGCAACTGGAGCATCTAAACCTCAACGAAGACAAGAAAGACTGTTAGACTCTAGCGTAAACGTGATATACTGCTGTCGACCAAAAGGCGTGTGTACTGCTCAACAGTTCGCTCCGTCCTCCTTTATGGCTGTAAGACCTGACCATTGAGAGAGGAAGACATGAAAAGATTAGCTGTCTTTGATCATAGGTGCCTGCGTTCTATCTCCCATGCTAAGTGTTATAATAAGGTGAGCAATATTGAGGTTAGGTGCCGAGTGGTAGGTAGTTGGGAGAGGAAATCAATCCACGAGGCTGTGAAGCTACATCAACTGAGATGGTTAGGACATGTGTTACGTATGCCTAGTCATCGCCTTCCTCGACATCAAGCAATGTTAGCTGACATAGGGTCAGGCTGGAAAAGAGCTAACCAGTGGTCGTCAAACCAAAACATAGCCTCATCAGTCAATGAAATCCACAACAGTTAGTTTAAGTCAACCACGTAAGAAGGTGTAGACTTCCTGACTGGTTCGCATCCTCGGGACGGTAAAAACCAATGGCTAGAAACAATTGGTGATATGGCTCAAAATCGTTCTCAGTGGCTAGCGCAGATGCATCTACTCCTTGTGACTTATGATTTCCAACGAAACTAAATTGTTCTTCGTTACTTCTATTTCTTTGTCTCACACCTCTGCTTACTGTCTCTATTATGCATTTCTTCTACTTTCTTCTCTTGATTTGTGTGCTACATTTAGGGAGTGTGGCGACTCGAACTGTCGCACATCGTTGCAAAGTTCTATGTCGAAAACAGACAGACAGACAGAGAGACAGAAAACTAATTCTCGTGGAATAAACGTTCTCTGCACAGTTCGTGTTCTGTTTTCATTACCTGTGTGCCTGTTGTTTTGCTTGTTTACACTACCACGTATGTGACTGGCGAGGATTCCATCAGTGAATCACCAGATCCGATTGGAACACATTAATGTACAATAATAACAATCATGCATACTGTAACAATATTAAGATATATATATTTAACAAAGTTAATTTCACTAAGATAAAGTCAAGAATTATATCAACTACTGTGTATAATCTCAACCGGGATTATCCCTGTTGTTCAACTACAAGGACAAAAGTAAAACGGTTTCAAAATGAAATATAAACTTAATGATTTCTCCGTCAAGATATCATTTCGTATAAACAGATTTGTCAGTGTCATGAAAAAAGCTAAATAACTTTACACAATTGTATAATCATCAATCGAATATTTCAATGTGTATGGATAATTCAAAACAATTTCAATCACAATGTTCACAATGTTGTATCCATCAGCAAGCTTGAATGGACTGTAAAAGGATAGCAAGCCCCTCTTGGCGAATCTGGTTAAATGATCTGATAAGAATGTCTCTCTCTCTCTCTCTCTCTCCAAAAGCAACAACTTTAAATGAGTCTCTTTGTGAAAAAATCACCGGAAATAGAAATCAAACAAACAAAAAGATCTAAAATCAAACATTTTTAAAAATAAAATATCCAAATTAGACTTCTTTTTTTAAAAGAAAAAAAAAGAGAACAGATTTTGCACAAAAGTAAAGTTGTCTTACAAAAATATAAATGAATTCCTTGATTTTTAACATTTTGATTGCCATTATATTTATACGCTTGTGACAAATTTGTAGTAGATTGCCAAAAAAACAGTGTGAGATAAAAAATAATACGCAGTGGACTGGAAGACTTCACAGCAGTTCACATCATCATCATCATCATGGTGAACAGACTGATATGATAACAGCATGCTTCACTTTCGCTAGGGGAAATAAAAAATAAAGCAAATCACACTTACATGAGTATACAGAAGAATAAAAAGGGCCAAGTTAAACTTTAAGCACCAGTATTTACCTATGGAGTGAGTGAGACCACACCATTGACCATGGTCCACTGAGTTTTATTCACGTAAGTAGAAGCTTCTCTCCTCCGCTTGATTCGAGTCATTACCTGCGCTAATACAGTCACTGACGATTCTAATACTTCGTAGGAACCTTTTTTACGCTAGATCCCATCCCATCCCTTAACCGAGATTTTGTGTATTTGTAATTAGACGGTTTTAAAACAGACTGTGAAAGGTGCGGTTGTCAAAACTGAAAATAGTCTTTTAGCAACAGTTCAGTGGTTCTAGTGTAACAACAGAAGACAAGGGCCGGCGACAGATCGTTTTATTACGGAAATCAGCACGTATTTATATATATTTCATGTACATTATTAAGGCTTATTCAAGTAGACAAACACTGTCTTCTGATTCGTTGTTTCTGGTTTCTCGGAAAGTTAAGTCATATATCTGCGAATCTTATTTGTCCACGTTAAGTCTGCTGTGATTGGTTGTTGAATCAGCCTTGTTCATATTTTCTCACGGCCAATATTAGTGACCTAGACATTGACGTAAATTAATGTCTACCAGTTGGCTAGCAGCCTGCTCTCACCACACTAGCACTGCAGGGATATTGCATCCTGGAAAATGGAGAGGCTTACTTCATTATTGGAATGTGGAGGTGTCATCGTACATGTAGATGAAACTGTCTTATATAAGCAAAAATACAACCGTAGTTGAGAACGAGAGAAGAATGTCTGTGTGATTGGTTTATATGATACTTTTCTACGAAAACAATTTTTACTTTTAATACCTATTATTGCTCGGCTGCGTCGGTGGCACAGCGGTTAGGACGCTCGCCGACCTTGCACATGATCCGAGGTTCGATCCCCGGCCACAGACGCACTCCTTTACCTCGCTAAGCCAGAAATAATGCTGGTAAAGAGGAAAGGTTGGGCATGAGGCTAGCAACCCCGTCCTGTAAAATTAAAAACACTGCTACAGAAACTTCAAGCCGCTAGCTTGAGCCCCTATGTTCCACTGAGGAAAGAATAAAAAAATTGCTCGACTGGTGAAACAAGGATCTTAAAACTTACAAGGAGAGCTGACGGAACTTTAAGAAGGTCCATCCATAATAAACCCACATGGAACGGCCAACTGACAAGCTTCTACAGCTGGGTATCAATTAGTTGAAAAAGAAACCTAATTAGATCTCTTGCCACTCGCGTCCAACGCATCTGCAGATCTGATACCATGGAGGAAGAATTAAACTTCTTGAAGGAAATCTTCATACAAAATGGTTACCCATCAAGATACGTAGACAAGAACATCAAACAAAAAATCCAAAAGCAAGAGACAGCATCCGTGTCAAAACAAGGTACTTTATATGAACCTCGACTTCAAAGGAGACCTACTCACTGACGTCCTTTGAAGGAGAATTTCCATCTCTTTAAGGAGAACTTTGCCTGCGGCAACATTGAGTGTATTGTTCTTCAGTCGCCCGCTGATCTATAGAAGCCCAAATGACGAGATCCCGCACCTGACCACTTCTGTGTGTATATATCAGTCCACCTGTTGCTGTGAAGCCAGGTACATCGGTCGTTCAACTCGCATCCTGTCAAAAAGCGTCAAAGAACACTATCCAGCGTGGTTGCAGAAAGGAAGTAATGGCTGCATAAGGAGTGCAATAATCGAACATCTCGTCAACACTGGTCATTCCATCTCAACAAACGCCTCCTTCAAAGTAATCAAGAAAGTGAAGAACAACCTTCCAAAGACAGTACGATTCCATCTTCTTTGCATCGCAGGAGCCCTAGCCATTCAGTTGGAGGAACCTGAACTGTGCATACAAAAGAAAAGTATTCAACCACTTCTACTCTCATGGTAACAACTCCGTTGATTTGACTTAACTTTTGCTTGTTTGTTTATTTTTCTTACTTAAAACCCTTGTGTAATTCCACATATTTTGTTTCCATGTAAACCCTGAGCACAACTCTTTCATTCAACTATTCACGCCATCACGTAACTCTTATTTAACATTCATTTATGACAACTCATCACCCTTGTTTCTATCCTCTTATATCAACATCCAATTCACCTGAACTTGCTAATTTTATTTTCGTTTGACAAATTTAATGTACACACACATAAAAAACAACCATGCGTATATTTGCGATTGTACAGCTATAAAAATGAATTCGCCGAAAAGAGACTCTTCTGTCTATTAATGTTCGAATGGGAATTTTTCATGAAACAAGGATCTATAATGCGCAGAGATGAGTGGAGAGGTAATCACTTCTTGTCATCCCTTCGATATACTCACCAGAGAGTCAAACATTCTAATGATTTAGTGGATCCTATTACAGGTACCCACACCAGTTCTATCGAAGGCTTTTCAAGAAGGTAAAAAAAAACAGAATTGGAGCCATTAACGGGTAGCAAAACGATGTCATTTATAGTCATTTAGATGAATATATGTATCGGATGTGATGTAACTTTTCCACTGATATTCCTATGTTAAACTAGGAGATGTTGTTATCACATGAGAGAGAAATGTGTCCCTCCGTAACAGTTTTATACACTTTTTGTTTCATAAATATATGTATTCCCCAACCAAAAATGCCTCCTTCATACGCTTGGCGCGTTCAAGGTTATTCGCTGACTGGTAGCTACTGGTGATTAAAGTTTAACTTTGCCAAGAAAAGCATCTTCAAACAGAACTGGTAAAATCAATAATAAAGTGTTCATGAAATAACACTGAAACAGCCCAATTAATAGCCAGGTAATGAAGTAATCATCGAAGTTGAAATTGAAAACTATGCTTGTAACACGATTCAAACTCGCAAAGTCATTGAATACAGTTGACAATATATATAGTGATACGATTGTTGTCTAGATGGTTATTTTAGGACTATAACTCTTCATGACTTACTGACGTCTTGGGGTAAGTGAAATAGAAAGAGTATTAGTGTTACATGACTGCAAAGCCCATGGGATAACTGCTTGAGGCTGACCACACATGGCCTGTTTGAAGCTGTTTCTGTAGTTGACTCCGTATTAAGATCTCAACGTCCGATACCAACCACCGCAAGGTAAGTTGGGATCTGTAATTTTCGGGGTGGACCTTTTCGCCAGCAGTATGAGTCCGCCAACAGACCTATACTACGATGACAATTACTTTTACTCTAACCCCTATCCAGACGACATTTCTAGCACGAGAGGACCTGCAGGAACATTACTTCTAGCATTACAGCCTTGGGAAATCAATCGACGGGGCTGTGAAGCTAAATCAACTGAGATGGTTAGGACATGTGTTACGTATGCCTAGTCATCGCCTTCCTCGACATCAAGCAATGTTAGCTGACATAGGGTCAGGCTGGAAAAGAGCTAACCAGTGGTCGTCAAACCAAAACATAGCCTCATCAGTCAATGAAATCCACAACAGTTAGTTTAAGTCAACCACGTAAGAAGGTGTAGACTTCCTGACTGGTTCGCATCCTCGGGACGGTAAAAATCAATGAAGGCTAGAAACAATTGGTGATATGGCTCAAAATCGTTCTCAGTGGCTGGCGTTGATGCATCCACTCCTTGTGACTTATGATTTACAATGAAACTGTTTTGTTCTTCGTTATTACTATTTCTTTGTCTCACACCTCTGCTTACTGTCACTATTATGTATTTCTTCTACTTTCTTCTCTTGATTTGTGTGCTACATTTAGGGAGTGTGGCGACTTGAACTGGTGCACATTGGTGCAGAGTTCTATGTCGAAAACAGACAGACAGATTTCTAGCCAGTGTAATAATATACAAGAACGACCACCACATCAACGTAGTAGCTATCTGTTGGGGAACTTTTCACGATTACGAAAATATTAACAGATCTAGTAACAATCCAATCTACTATTTGAAACTAAGCATTACTAAGCCACAAAAACAGCTTTGCTAAGGGGAAACACAGATGACGACTGTAGTTTTGACGCACAATAATATTCATATAGTAGTAGCATACTAATATATATATATATATATATATATATATATATATATATATATATTTATATATATCATATACTTCATTATACTTCAGTTTCCCATGGATGGTCATATCACTACGTGGAATCAATTCATAGTCTTTGAAAATTAGTTTGAAAGACAAAATGTCTGGTTTTTGAAACCAGTGTCGAAAAAGTATACCGCACCCAATTAAGAGGGTAACTGTTACTCGAACTCAAGCAGTAGTATAAAGAAAAAGTGTGTTGTCATCTGATGTGAAGACAACAAGTGGTGCCCAATGTCTCCATTTGTATTTAATTTCATCATAGATGTACTAATGGATATATAGCATAGAGATTAATTAACCTGATATCAGGGATCTACAGACGATGATTTAGTCGTTTTAAATGAAACACTGGCAAAATACAATTTTCTCTGAACACCACTAAGCAGAAATCTTAGTAAGTTTAGCATACAAAACCTCTCTTATCAAATGTAAAATGATGCTACATGGCTGGTCTGCACCGACTTTTAGTTTAAAGATAGAGGAGTGAAATGGTTAAGTGTTTCGATTACTTCACTTGTTTGGGGACTTCCAACAGCCCCAAATGGACTGATTTCTGACGAAATCGCCACACACACACATGCAAGACACTTAAGTCATTTGACTACTTATGTGATGTGTGGAGCAGATGTCATATCCGGTTATCTACCAAAGGATATGTGTAATGTTTGCGTGAGATGCGGTTATTGAAAGTGACAGATCATGAAGAGAGACTAACTCTCTCTCCAACCACAGATGCCTGAGTCCCATTCCCTGTCGTTTGGGAGGCATGACATATTGAGTAATACAGGAGTTAGGTGTAAAATTTTAGGTAAGGAGGAAAAGTCAATCAATGAGGTTATAAAGGTGAATCGCTTAAAAATCGCTGGGACGTGTTATGCATGTCAAGTCACCAACTTCCCTGTCCAGCAGCTGTATATTTGACATGTGGTTCGGTTGGGAAAGTGGTAGAGGTGGTCAAAACAAAAAAAAGATGGAATCAATCCATGAAATCATTGACTGCTGATTTGAGCCAGCCAGCCAGCTAGCCAAGTATGGAAGTGGAGACTATCCGGCTGGCACCCTCAAGACGCTAAGTACCAATGGGTGGAGACTGTTGGTGATATATAGCTCAAGATTATTCCCAAAGACGCAGATACATTTACTCTTTGTAATCTCCTAGGTTACTTAATTCCTGATATTACTCCACGTAATTATCGTTTCTGTCGTACACATATACTGATTGTATAGTTCTTTTTAGTTATTTTTTTTTCTTCTCGGTCGTTATGTGCTATATTGATTGTAGTAACTTGAACTTTTGTGCAAGGTTCTACATTGAAATCCCAGTCAATCAACTGGTTACAAATGTGCTTCCATAAAATATAGTGACATTAGCTAATGCAATTTTATGCGGAAAGTCTTCAGCTGGTGTTTTTTTTTGACTGGACGTAAACGACATGCTGTTAGTGGGGTGTGTACTACTGATAAGTGTTATCAGTAGTACGCAAACAGATGTTCAACGGCACAAAAATATTAAAAATCGCACAGAGAGATGGATTTAACGTCAAAGAGGAGAGGAGATGAATCAGTATTGCGGCAAAACATGTGAGAGACACGAAAAGAAGATAAAAGAAACATACACAATACAAAGGACGGAAGAAGTAGCACAACACGGAAGGTTTGTGCGAATGACAATTTTAACGTATGGTGGTGGTATACATAATTTCTCTATATATGTTTGCCTGTCTGTCTGTTTGTCTATCTGTTTTCGACATAGGACTCTGCACCAATGTGCACCAGTTCAAGTCGCCACACTCCCTAAATGTAGCACACAAATCAAGAGAAGAAAGTAGAAGAAATACATAATAGTGACAGTAAGCAGAGGTGTGAGACAAAGAAATAGTAATAACGAAGAACAATATAGTTTCATTGGAAATCATAAGTCACAAGGAGTGGATGCATCAACGCCAGCCACTGAGAACGATTTTGAGCCATATCACCAATTGTTTCTAGCCTTCATTGATTTTTACCGTCCCGAGGATGCGAACCAGTCAGGAAGTCTACACCTTCTTACGTGGTTGACTTAAACTAACTGTTGTAGATTTCATTGACTGATGAGGCTATGTTTTGGTTTGACGACCACTGGCTAGCTCTTTTCCAGCTTGACCCTATGTCAGCAGCTGACATTGCCCGTCCCTATAAATGTGTTAAAAATAGAAAATAAGTATCCCGTTACCAACTACTTTCTGCTCTGCTGTTATTCTAGGTTATTGAAAGGCATTAGAATAAATATATCCAAATTCTAACTTGACTCATAATCGTGTCTTTTGAATACAATGCCGATTACTTTCATTACTGTTTGTTGTTTTGTTTTTTCAATCGATCGATCAGTTAATCAGACAAAATATACACATACAAATGTAGTAAGCTACTGAAGGTAGGTAGTCTAAAGAATTGTAACAGTTCATTTGAATGTCAGCTGAATAGAGTCAGGTATTCAATCTTGACTTATTGATTTTACAAGACAAACTGTTTTGTTTATTTAAAATAACCATTTTTCAAGGCCAATTTTGTCTTGTTTTAATAACCACCTTGTTAAGGGTTATATGACAGTCGATGAGAGAAATATTATTATTATTATTAAGAATTACTACGAAAATAAACCTTTAATTAAGATAAATTCATTTATTTAACGTCTACATGGTGAAGTAGTAGTATAAATTAAGAAGGTCGAGGTAGTTCTTGTACAAATGTTACACGCAAGCACGTACACACACACATAATATCGTAATCATGATGATACCAACAGACATTCTTCAGGATAGAGTCAAAGATTAAAAATCAAGCGCTTTGATCTTTAACACAAAAATACCACGTTTAATTGGAAAAGAAATCCACACACACACACACATACCTCATACACCCTAATGTGATTTGTAATAATAAGCAGCATATTGTTCAATGTACAAACCAATGAACATGATCAAACTCATATTTGCAACCACGATTATGAATTCAAACGATCGCTCTTCAAGTATATGTATATGGATGATAAGATTAACTGACGATGGCCATTCCATCCTCTTCTCTGCAATCCTCTTTATCTGGCTCCACCACTGCTCATAGACTCTCTCACCACCTTCTCACACGATCTCCTCCATGTCACCGTAAGACTCACACCCAACTCTCTTCGTTTCCAATTCAGGCTCTATTCGAGGGCCTGTCACAGTGTCACTACTAAACGGTCTCCTCAGTGTATATCCAATCCATCACCACTTCCTTCGGGATTTATCTGACGGATAATACGTTCTCAGCTGGATCGCAACTACAGTTCATCGTTCCTCATGCTTTCCAGGACCCATCATATGATCTTTAGTATGAACGACCTAATTTATCTTAAAGATTGGATAAGTAAACTTTAAATTGAACTATTCCCCCACCCCACCTTACTATAATATTTCTGCTCTCAAAGACACTGATTTTAACTCAACTGTCAATAGTAGTTGAGTTCTGCTTAATCCCGTCAATTACGTTACGTCACTCCATTTCTTTGCGTCGGTGGCATAGCGGTTAGAACGCTCGCCGACCATGCACATGGTCCGGGGTTCGATCCCCGGCCACAGACGCACTCCTTTACCTCATTCAGCCAGAAGTGTTGGCTGGTGAAGAGGAAAGGTTGGGCATGAGGCTAGCAACCCCATCCTGTAAAATAAACACTGCCACAAGAACTTCAAGCCACTAGCTTGAAGCCCTATGTAGCACTTGGGAACGTCAAGGAAAAAAAACTCCATTTATTTATTTTATTCTAGTTTAGCTTCTACCTGAAATACTCCAGTATTGCGTGATTGCCATCTAGAGCTTACAATTCTGTTGATATGCTTGTGTTTGACCCAGGGATTGATATCAGTTAGAGAAAAATTGAAAATCGGCGAGGAGTACTGGACAGCCAGCTGTTTCATCCTAGTTTGGGAATAATCGGCAATACACATTCACTGGGGTTCAAACACAGGACCTACCGGTTACGAGGCAAGCTAGTATACCATTCAGCCACTGAGACCCAATTAAAATGGACCATGAATTCGAACTCCTACCAGTTCGTGATATTAGCGCGGCCACCGACCAATGTCATCGGTGGGAAATTCATCCTCACAAGTGACCGGATGAACCTTACTGGTTACGACTTCTCACTAGAACTCCAGGTAACTCCGTCCTGTAGCAAGTCACTAGCGAGCATCAGATTAATTTTCAACAGTTGATTTTTAAGGATTAGATTTGTTTTTTTTTTTGTTTTTTCTAGTTTAAGACAAATTAAATGAAACGTTTGACTACAGCTCTAAGTAAACAATTGTTCCTCTGTTTGAATACTTTCCAATATTGTTCCCATGGATAAGGTGAAAGTATAATATTTAGTCAACATTTATAAGTTAAATATACTTACTAACTAACCTTTTATACATCAAACGGATTGGTTTCATTTACTGTTCAGATTTTCCTACAGTTAATATGAAAAAGAAGGTTACGATCCGTTAGATAGAATAAATCTTAGAGACATTTTGGTATACTGACAAAATTACAAATCAGATTGTAAATCTAGCCAGATTATTTAGACCACAAGGCAGTATTTGAGCTAATAAGTCATTGACGCTGAAAGAGAACAAGACAGCTTTTATACGATGAATGTTCACAGCCCAATAGGAAATCAAGACTAGAATTATCTGGCTATAAAGTGATCATGTTATCCAATAGTTACTGGCTTAAAATCGAATTGTAAGAGATCATCTCCAACTGTCAGCAAACGTCATCAATGAAGAGCATTCTCACGCACGATTTTGTTGTGCGTCTCAATAACAACAACAACAACTCATTACAGCTACAGGAAACTCATCTCCAAGTTAGGTATTAATGACTCGTGGAATTCTATAAGATATTTCAGTTTGTGCATTGGTGGTTCAGATGTAGATTGCCTGCCAACGTTGCATTAGTTCTTCGGCTCGATTTCGCGGCCTATACAACACACCTTTTACGTTGTATAGAATGACAAGACCGTATATATAAACAGTGTTTAGCCTTTCCTTCTATGATCTTTAAGCTATATTTATATTATATTGTGTCTAGACTAGTTTCTTAGTCACCACCTTGAAGAAAAAACAACCTCTGAATCAATGATACAATATTAAGATAAGAAGCTTTGACTCTTTATAATTTGATTGCCCTTAGCGTTTCGCACTTTGTTAGCACAGCTTTCCACAGTATAAGTCTACTCGTCATTTTTAGTACTGTGCCCCATGAAGTAGTTGAAGGCTGTACAAACAAGGTTCAAAACTTAAAAAAACAAAAAACTTCAGCTTAAGATGTAAAAGACAGTTAAAAGAAGTCGTCAATTCTCATGACACTTGTAAAATTGACGACAATGATATAGGAATAATATCAGAAATTAAGTATCTTGGACTTATTCTCTCTTTTGATCTCTCCTGGTCTCCTGATGTCTTAGCCATCTACAATAAAATATTCCGCCTGACATTTTACATTAAGAAGTTAAGACACTCGGGCATAACTTAACCCCTCCCTCCACTCACAGTTCATAAACTCTTGCATCCTACCTATTCTTCTTTATTATTCACCCTTGTTCATTCTTTCCTGGTTTGCTTAAAAAGGACTATGTCACAATTCGTAGAATGCTGAAGACTGTCAGCACGGTGAGTGGTGTCCCAGTGGACCATATAGTTAATATTGTTATCGACAGGCACTTGACTTCGTGCATTAAATTTGCTAGAGGGATTTTGTCTGACTTGGAGCATCCACTTTACACTCAGCTTTCACCTTGCATCTCCGCCTCAGGTAGAACAAGAAGTAACTTCAGAAAACTGTATGCTCGCACGTCTAAGTATAAAAATTCTATGATACCATACTTGGCACGTATTTTATGTGATGAAAATAGTGTCAGGCAACAATTAACTAACCTTTCTCCCTCATCTAGTAAATAAACAATTCCCTCCATCCATCCATCCATCCTTATATACCTTCAAGTTTTACTTTTATTATTTCTGTTACATTTATGGTCCTGTTATTTCTTTGTTTTACTCTCATAATTGCAAACACCAACTTTTCCCCCTCACCATATCATGTAAAGAGAACATTATATTCAATATTTTTAAACATGCTAGGATTTCTATACCGAATCGACAATACTGTGTGACACAAGCCAACGGCAATTTTCACTTGTATTCTTATTATTATTACCCTGGCTGTTATCATTATTATTGTTATTTCCATTTTATATGCTGCGTGTTTTTGACATTACCCCTATTGTAAATGTGGAAAAATTTTCTGTGTGATTAATTTTATTTGTAATTTGAGTAAATTAGATGCAATATTGTGATTAATGCTGAAAATTCCATTCTGTATCACAAGTACTGTTTTTGGAATAAAGTAAATTATTATTACTATACACAATCTAAGTCGTGGAAACTCCCTAACTATATCACTGCATGATTTAAGATAAAGTTTGGTGGGATGCTTAAATTTACATCTAATAACATATCTCTAATTCAATGGTCAATATATATGAATAGATAAGAGTGACACCTATGGACACGCCCATGTTAAGACGGATTGCTGAAGTTGTTATATACAAAGGCTCAAAATCATGCTTCTACCAAAAATCGAACTCAAAATTTGGATAAATCATGTGTAGATGACACTTTCGTGATAATTAGGAGAAACGATTTAGAAAATACCCACAGACTGATCGACTACATTATCGACGATATCCTATTTACAAGAGAAGAGGAATCCCAAAAAAACAAAATTCCATTCTTCGACGTCTTAGTCAAGAGAACCAGAAAAGAAAAATTAGAAACTCAAGTAAACAGCAAACGTAACTCAGAAAGTTAGAATACTGGATTACAGCAACAAAAAAACCGATAGTACACAAAAGGAGGGCGGAGTGCAGCACTCCTGTCTTGAAGACAGTAGAGGAGAAATACCACTGTGATCACCTTCCAGAAAAAGCATCAAATGATGCTTACCGTCAACCCAGTCAATCAACTCAAAAGTATCCAGTGAAAGCACAAAGAAGAAAATCTCCAAAGTCACTGCAAGACTACCGAAACCTTTTGGAATAGATGTCTCCTACAAACCAACAAAATCACTTCAATCGGTACTGTATCAACTAAAAGGCACAACGGTGAAAGAAAACAAAACCAAAATCACCCACAAGATAAATTGCAACCACTGCGAAAAACACTAAACTGGTCAAAGTGTACAGCCAACTTCGTCTTCGCATCCACGAATATAAACTGGTTGTTAAACGACATGATATTCTTTCCCTTATATCAGTGCATGCAGACAACCACGGACACCAATTCCATCAAGAAAATGTGAAATTCTAAGGAATGCCATGGAATTTCTAAAAGAAGAAAAGACGAAGTTCAGAATTTTCAGACGACTTTATTGCATGATATTTTCCCTTCGTACAATGCCTCCAAGAAAAATATTAATTGACAGTATATCCCTCCTATGGCACAATCCTCTCTGAGCTGAAGCACATCCATTGTGATATGTCTGCTTTGTCTCCTTCAAGAAATCCACGATATCTACTTGAAAGCCGATTGTAAGACGTTCAGAAGTAGATTTTGAGACACAAGAACATAACTAAAGAATAGTAATATCATGTACTGGAACACATTACCACTCACAATCAGTCCTTTCCTCAAGTTTACTAGGAGCTTACGAATCAGAAGCTTAAAAAAAATCTTAAATACTCACACAAAAGTAGATAATACCACTGGAGATCATATCTTAATCGATTAAAACAAACCCGGAAGAAAGAAAATATATATGGAATAGAGAGATGGAAGTTTTTGGTAGCCCAAGTTTTAAGCAGGCCACCTTGAAGATGGACTTGATTACATACGGAATTATAGTACAAGAGGGAAAAAATCCTCAACTATATGTATACAGAAGTGATTTCTCCAGTCTCTTCTACTACCGTGACCTTTGAATTTGACTTGAATAATAATTTCGTATGTAATCCATTTTTATTTGTTCATTTTTGGTCTCTTCTTCTTTAAACTTTAAAATATAATACATTGTCAAATGAAAAATTTAAAATAAAAATATGTTTAAATGACACGAAACTTACAATTGTCTGGTATAACTCTTCAATTTTGTCTTCATATGGATATTTTCCAGAAAAGTCAATATATCGACTTGTACCTAACATAGCACCTAACCAATGAGTAGGAACAAACTTCCGTTCAACTCTCAGAAATATACGTTTTTTGCCTCTTGATAGAGCATGTTTCGCTTCTGAAAGATGAAATATGATATTGTGTTTAAAAACAAAAGGGGAGGGGAGTTAATCTCTTTTAGAACATCAGTATATATGCTACTTGTAATAACATATGGTTAGCAGAACAGAATTAATTATTGATTGATAGACAGATCGATAGACTCAGTCGGTCTATCAATGCACAAAAAGTAGAAAAAAAAGAGAAGTTCAGAAGAACTATAATAAACGGGAATATACAAGAGACAGAATAATTACATGTAAGAACCTGAAAATTTAATGAATTGGAAAGATTATAAGGAGTGAATGCATCTGAGCCACTGACAACGATTTTCAGTCATATCGCCGGAAGTTTCAACCCAATGGTTCTAAGTGTCTCGACAACACTAGCCAAACAGTCTACACCTACCCAACGTGACTAAATCAAGATAATAGATGAAGACTCTATGGATTGATTCCAGGTTTTAATTAGACCATCCCTCACTCTTTTCCAACTTCATCGACCAGGAGGTACTCTGACTATGTTTGGCCGAGAAGGGAATGTCCAAGAAGTACATTACACTGATCAAGGCACTCACTATACTCGAACTCATGCAGCCAGGTAAGAGCTTATGGCGAGTTGTCATCTGAACTGATGACAACTAATGGTGTCCGACAGGGAGGCCCACTGTTCCTACTTCTGTTTAACCCCACCACAGATATACTAATGGAATTAACCCTAAAAGACTTCAGAGAGTCAGGGATTGACTTATTACCACCGGGAGGATAATCTCGTTGGCTTAGAATATGAAGATGATATAGTCCTCTTATCTAAGTGAAGACGGTGACAAAATAGAGCAATCTCCTGAACGCCCTGAGCTGCAATCTATTCCCATCAAATGTAAGATGATGCTGCAGGACTGGACTAAACTAACTCCTAGCTTAGAAATAGAGAGTGAAGTGGTACAGCGCGTTGGCCGCTTCAATTATTTGAGAAGTTGTATCAGCCAAAGCCAACGGGTTGATCACTGACGAAATCTCAGCTCGAATACAGAAGGCCAGGCTCGCATATACCATGCATGGCGTAGACGTGATATACAGCTGGCTGTCGACTAAAGGGCGTATGTACTGCTCAGTAGTCCGCTCCGTCCTCCTTTTATGGCTATCAGACCTGGCCAATGAGAGTGGAAGACATGAAAAAGCTAGCTGCCTTTGTTCTATCGCCCGTGTGAAGTGGCATAATAGGGTGACCAATACTTAGGTTAGGCGTCGAGCGCTAGGTAAGGAGGGGAAATCAATAGACGAAGCTGTGAAGTTACATCGACTGAGATCGATAGGAGATGTGTTACTCAAACTGCTGCACATCTACATCTATGCAAATTTCTATGTTGAAACAAATCAGTCAGTCAACTTAACCCGACGTCAACTAATATTTCTCAACGAGGAAGAAGATGACTTGTCATTTTTAACACGTATCCTAGCCATCTCAATCGATGCAGCTATAAAACCTTATCGATCGACTCTCCTTGCTTACTTAAAACTTTATGCCTCACCTCAGCAACGAAATAACACAATTTATCTATAATGAAATAATTTAAAAGACAAACCTAAAAATAAGATCAGAAGGTGAATTATTCAAAAAAAAGTGATTTAGAATGAACAGTTATTTTCAATAATATCTTCCCTTGACTTAACAGTTACCAGTCGATTAAGGTTAGCATACAATAGTCGATAAAAGCAAATTAAAATTACATCAGAAACTGTATTCTGATACAAGTACAAGAATGAATAACAGACAGTTCATTTTGATTACACTATTGAAATGCATAAAGAATACACATTAAATAAGAACATGGGATAAAATAAATGAATGATGTATTTGTAAAATTAATAACCAACCAAAAATGCAAGCCACAAGGGGTGATTTGTAATTAGTCGGATGACAAAAAGAAAATGTGAACACTACAAATAAGTAAGTGAAAAGACACATTTTGGAAAGGCTAGATGTAATAATTTCAAAGAGTTACACATAATGATGATAATTATAGTAGTAATCGTTTTAATAGTGTGGTGAAACAACAGGGTGGTATTAGCATTCCGAAATGTATTGTCCAGTTGCCCGAATAGCTCAGTGGTAAAGTCTCTCACTGCAGTACTCACTGGGTGACGCGGGTTCGAATCTCAGAAGGAACATGAGTTCCTTAAAGGTTGCAGATACGCCAACTAGCACGAAACCCAGGTTCAGGGCTTCCTGCTGATTGCCTCCAACCATCTAATATCATCAAGTGTGGTGGTATGCTCATCATTCTAACAAAAAGTCAAGCCTTGAACTCCGGATGATGCACTAATAAGTCTTCTGAAGTTTACTAGTTAGAAGTGAGTCCAAGGAAGAGGGAAGGTTGAGTGTGAGGTAATACTAATGCTGTTGAAATTTCACAGCTTGAAGCCCTATGTCCCATTCGGCACAAAAGGAATGAAAAATGTCTATGGCGTCGAAACAGAGACACCATTTGGAGGCACAGAACCTAGACAAAAGGTTTAATGTCAGTCTATATATATATATATATATATATATATACAAACCACCGGTCAAATTTCAAAGACAAGTATGTGGCCTGTGTACAATTATCTCGCAGAGAAATGTTTCATTTCAACACTAAGCCGACATTTGTATGAAATGTGAATAAGTTCATTTTAATTGACTGAATATTTTGCTTGATAATTGTGAAAAAAAATCAATATTCAATAATGACCTTCACACACGCACACACACAATTTTAACTGGAGAATATGAAAAATTAATTATTAAGTTAATTCATCTTTTCTTCTTAAACGAATTCCTTACTTATTCATTCAGGTGCTTAGATTTGATATTTAAGTGTGATTATTAAAATTGTATTGACTCTTCTTGTATACAATGCAGTAAACTTAAAACATTTTCAGTTATTATTATTGTTCCGTTAGATTTCCAGTGGAACACAAGGCTTCAATAGCACATCTCCATTCCATTCTGTTATCTGCAGTCCTCTTTAGCCGGATTTACGATTGCCCATAGGCTATCATCTCCTCTGTGTCACCCTGGTACACATGCAAAACTGGTTACTTCCCACTACACACTAATGTTTATAGAAAACCAATGCATTCTAATAGATAATTCGTCTCATCCGTTAACTGTTAAGGCAGGCTTAGTTAAGTGTCTAACAAACGGAGCCATAGCACTAAGTAGCACAAAAAAGATCTAAATGACGAAATAAAACAGATACAAGAAGCGTTGGTGTTGAATAACTATCCCATAAAATTCATTAAGAAGATCAGTAAAGACCAAAAACAAAATAAAAATAATTGTGGAACTAGTAATGATAACATAAATAAGAGAAAATGTAAATCATCCACTGTTATACCATATAAAAGAGGGGACATCTGAGACCCTCCCCAAGTAGGATTCTTAATAAAGCAGGAATTAGGGTGGCAAAATCACTCAGGGACAAGTTCTGTAGGTTAAAGGACCCAGTTGAGCCAATTAGACAAAATAATATAATTTACAAAATACCCTGCAATAACTGTGAGGTCAACTACATAGGTCAAACTAGTAGGTCGGAGGTAGTCAGATTATCAGAACTTAAGAATTTAGCTAAGGGAAGAATAGTTGACCTTGAAACGATAAGTAATTTAGAAAGAAGCTCAGCAATTGCACTAAATGCATTACACACAACCACACAAGAGGGTGGGAGAGGGTTAAGATTCTAAGAAGTAATCTATGTAGGTGAAGAGAGAGATTGATTACTGAATCCTGGTTCATTGAATCTACACCCAACAAATGTAACAGAAATGACTCAATGAAAATACCAGAAATATGGAAGATATTACTACTGCCGGTCAAATCAGAAGAGGATAGTAAATAATCTTAAAACTCTATTTCAATTCAAACATATCACAACACTCTAACAAGTAAATCATTATGACTATAAAAACACTCGTCTTATTTCCCACCTGAGTGTAATTGATCAATAACACCCGCATTATTATTTCTGAATGTATATTATCTCATACTGGTTTTTTATTCTAATATCTAATCGACTCCACACATGTATATAAATGAAGGAAAAAAGTTGTGTGAGTAACTTGATATGATTATGAGTGGCAATAGTTTGTGCTTGAAACGTGGTCATCAGTTAATATTACTGTACAGCACTGTGTGATTTATCAAAACAAATTCTTATCCATAATGGAGTTATGCTCTACCAAAGTGGCCAAGTTTTATACTTATATACCATTAGGGTTCTACTTGACAATCTGTTGAGTGATGTCACCCAACCCGTCTTCTCAGCGTATGTTCAATCCATCTCCAATTCATTCTGTATATTCGTTTCCAGATAGATTCTTGATTTACTCGTTGCCAGAATTCCTTGCTGTTAATCTTCTACAACGAGCCACCTGAACTTCAGTATGGAATGAAGGCAGTTGTTGATGATAGAATGTAGTCTGGTGGAAATGCTTTATGTGACGCGCTAAGTCTCAAAACCATGCTGGAGCACCTACTTGGCATTAGTGTTGAAAATCAAAATCTTGTTCCTTATGCACAGTACAGCAGATTTCCTTACTGATTTCACATTAGTGAAGGCTTGTTTGGCTTTTCCTCAATAGGAAATTATAATTCTGGATGATTGGAAGTAATCAATAGGAAGCTATGAACTTAGGTTGAGTACGATTTTGAACTTGTCGCACGAAACCGTATGTGACAGACACCTCGAAAGAAATGATACTCACTTAGAGATTCAATCTCTTACCACTCAGTGCTAAAATCGGAGACTTTATGAATAGCCTAGCTCGCCTTACGATTGACCTCCAGAGGGTGGGGGCTTTAATAGATACCTTGCTTGGTCAACAATCTTGTGTTTGTAGTTCTTATTGTGCATGCTGAATGAATCTGAATGAGTAAAAAAATAACAATAACTATTTATCCTTTTCCGTTGAATACATTGGAGCTTCTCAATTCTAATGCATGTCTGGGATGAATAGTAGTTGATTATTTGAACTCTCGATTATCCGGAACAGGTATTTCATGTTCCAGACTAATAAGCGTATATTTATCGTGTGAATGCTGATGATATACTACCCAATATTTGATTTCTCAACAATCTTAATACGTTTTATTGTGGCAGAGAGATTGTTCCACACTAATTAAACTTTGGATACCTTTCCAGAAGGTATATCTTCTATTGTTATATTAGGATAACCGATGTTTCAGTATGTCCAGGATACATTTCATTCACCACATGAGTAAATGATAACAATAGCATCTTGTAAACTGATAGTATGTAAATCCATGTCTCAATGTATTATGATTGTTCACCGTTTTAAAAGGTCCCGAATTGAAGTGTACAGCTCTCTCTAGTGCTGTTCATTATAATTATTATTTCATTATTATCCCCTTGGGTTCCAAGTGGAACAACACATCTCTATTTTGCTCTATTAGGTGCTGTCCTCTTCAACTGGGTTCACGACTGCTAATTATCTCTCATCTCATTCTAGCACGATCTCCTCCATGTCACCCTCGGACAACCCACTAATCATTTCCCAATGGGATTCCACTCGAACGATGACCTGGTGCGCGATATCATTCGACGGTCTCCTCAGCTTGTCTCCGATCTATCTCCCTTTTTCTTCGTTATATTTGTTAGGCAATAGGTTTGTGGACTTTGTATGCGAAGAACTCAAAAGACGAAACATCGATGTTGGCATTCCTATATTTTTTATGAAAGAGCTTCTCTTGAAATGTACAATGAATGTCCACTTTATATTTAATAAGGAACTATACAGACAAATCAACCGTGTGGTAATGGGGTCACCACTAGGACCCATTCTAGCCGACATTGAACTGCCGCACATATGTGCAAAGTTCTATGTCGAAAATAGACAGACAGACAGACATTTTCCTTGCGAAACTAGAAAATGGGCTTTTATTTATTTTATTAATGAACTCGAATTTTATTGTCGGTACATGGATGATACTTTTTTGATTATGAAAAATGAGAAGGAAGCAAACAGCATCCTGCATAAATATAATGAGGTACATCCTGCAATAAATTTTACTATTGAGAAACAAAATGACCATAGTATTTCATTTCTAGCCGTCCTTATGACCAGAAAAGAGGATTGCACAATAAGTGTATATGTAAAACCGACATCAGCTGCCCAGTATACTCATTTTCTCAGCTTCGTGCCCTTGAAATACAAACGCAATCTGATAAAGTGCTTGGTTCACAGGGCAAGACCAATCTGCTCGGATGAATGTCTTGATGAGGAATTTAATAAAATTAAACGGTTGCTGAGTGAAAATGGCTATCCAGAAAAGTTTATTGATAAGAGTATGAATCTAAAATCAAAGCAGCTCAAGGTACCAACAGTTTCAAAAAAGGCCTTATTGTTACAAACACAGTTCTTTAGGGACAACATCAGCAAAATACTAAAAATGCGGTAAAAATAGGATTCCCTGCTGCTGAATTACACTGTGTCTTCAAAACCACTCCTGTTTTACGTTCGGGAGTAAAAGACAAACTGCCTAATTTCTCCTCTTCCATGTGTATGTACGAATTTAACTGCTCCTGTGGAGTCAGTTACATAGGCCGTACAATTAGGCATGTTTCTCGTCGAATTTCTGATCATCACCCTGCGTGGTTAAGCAAAGGACAAACAAAATCTATTCGCAGTGCTCTTCTGTCTCATCTTGTGGATACAGAACACAAGATTGACGTTAACCATGCATTCAGGGTCATTTAATGCATACCTACGAATCTCAATTTTCCCTTAAGCGTTCGACTACTAAATATTGCTGAGCCTGAGGAGATCCATATTAACAAGCCTAATTTATGCATCCAAAAGAAGTTAGTTCAGACATTACCATTACCTTGGCCATCTAGGTTTGAATGATCCTCAATTTTTGTGGAATTTTCCTAATTTTAGTTGACATTCCCTTTGTTATTATATCTTTATTATGATTATTCTTTATGCATGTAAGATCAATTCAATTCCAATCCTTGAATCAAGTCAACCTGTCCCGGATCAGCCTAGCGTTGTTGCAACCCAATTATCCATGCCTGACGTGTCTATCCCCCCCCCTTGTTTAATGAACTGTATATGTGTTTTCACATCGATCTGTTCAGTCAGACAGTTGAACTCATGGCCGAATCAGAGTATTTTGTGAACTGTTATTTTTGCTGACCCATGTCTTACTTTGTACTATTTTGTCGAGTTTATCTTATTTAATGATCTTCATCTGTATCTTCCTACCTGTTTAAGTAGCCAATTAGATTCTATCTTTGTGCCTATGCTCTGTCTATCTCTTAACCGCTCTCAGTTCTATGCCTAGCCTTACTTGGGTTCATTCTTCTACTGACTGCTTACCTGAACGGTTGTGTCTGATTCCAGCTAGTATGCAATGTTGGCTTTAACGTTATTCCGCTCTGATAGCGGTACCTTGCTTTCTGTTAAGCGTTGTGCTTTGTACTCTTGTTTATTAATAGTACTGTAGAAACACTGACCGACTTCCGGTTTGTTCTGGACTGGGATAGCCTTTATCTACGCGTGACTTAATTTCAAGCGATATTACGCTTACAATGCATCTTTAATGAACTGTAATTCCATCGAGATCATACTTTACAAATCGATATTATTTAAAAAAAAACACTAATATTGTTATTAACTACTAATCTAGAATATTCTGTGTATATAGACATATATATGTATAATTGTAGAGCCGGAAGAGGAATTTATCGAAAAGAATATTCTTTGCTCAATTATTTTGTGTTTTATAGATGTCTGAATGAATGGGTTTGTAGTTGGTTTGTTGCCGGAGTTTCTTGTTGCTAATCCTTTCTGATCATTTAATATTTTCAGTATGGAGCCAGTGAAGGCGGTTGCTGATCAAAGTCTGTAACTAGTGCGCTGTTTGATTTTTAATATTTCATTGACTGTTAATCGATTGTGGTGAAATCCACTTTCGACAAAACAGTGATTACCTCACCTCAACTAAATATAACAAGTTAATTGGTGGATGGGCACTGGGTACAAGCCTCAGTGGGAACATCATCACTTACTGTGGAATGCAGGCACATCCAGAATAGGACGAAATATGCATCTTGGTGGATTCCACTGCTAGTCACCATCCACCAATTAAATCCTAATTACATGCCTAGACATCGTTGAAGCATCTGCATAAGAAGCCGACATGTCAACCTGAGACCGAGCACTTCAGTCCAATCAGTCGACGGGAAAATCAAAAAATTGAATTAAATATATAGAAGAAGAGTTGAAGGAAGGAACCTTTCTTCAACTCTTATACTCCACATACTCCCACACACTGTGAATTGAAAAAATGATAAAACTAGAAGGATTGAAATATTTCTTTGAAAATATATATCTATATTAAGTAACTGAAGGTAATTCAAACGTTATGCTTACCTACTTCAGTATTTCCACCATTTTGATAAGCTTTTGAAAAAAGAATACATACAATTGAAGCATCCTCTACAGCAGTTGCCATACCATCTAGAACATCAATTTCCTTAATCATATCAAATTTGTCAATCCATACCTGAGTAAAAGACAGAACCCAATAATAGTAAAACAATAATAATGGTAATCATAATATTATAATAATAAACATGCAGGCATAGTGAATCACTGACTGACTGGCTGGTTTCAACATAGAAATCTGCACACATGTAAATGTGCAGCAGTTAGAATTGCCACACTCCCTCCACGTACCATATAAAGTAAGAGAAGACAGTAAAGGATATTCAGAATAGGGACAATAAGCAGAGGTGTAAGGCAAAAAGAATAGTAATATCGAAGGACAACAGAGTTTTATTGGATATGATAAGTCACGAAGAGTGAATGCATCTGTGCCATCACCTAGAACGATTTTGAGCCATATCACCAATTGTCTCCAACCATTGGTTCTTAGAATTCCCAGGAACCCAACCGGTCAAGAAGTTTACACTTCCCTACATGGCTGACTGGCTCAAACTAACTGTTGTGGATTTCATTGACAGATAGGGCCGTGTTTTTGTTTGACTATCATGTGCTAGCTCTTTTGCAACCTGATCCTGCGTGAGCAAACATTGCCCGTTGTCGGGGAAGGCAATGGCTAGGAACGCATGAGTAACATGTCCCAGCTACCTCAACTGATTTACCTTCACAACTTCGTCGATTGATTTACCCTCCCACCTACTTGCCACTCGATGAAAGTCTAACCTCAATATTGCTCACCTTATTATACCACTACCCAACATGGGAGATAGAACGCAGACACCTATGATCAAAGATAAGTAACCGGTCTTTTCATTTCTTCCACTTTCAATGGCCATGTCTCTCTCACAGTCATAAAAGAGAACGGATCGATATGCTGAGCAGTACACATGTCCTTTGGTTAAAACCAGTCGGATATCACGTCTACTAAGCCAGAGATGACGTACGTTGGCATATATCAAACGAGTTTTCTGTATGAGTGTTGAGACTTCGTCAGCGATCAACCTGCTAGTGTTGGCTGATGCAACTTCCTTATTAAGGTCTACTGCTTCGCTCTTTATCTTCAAGCTAGGAGTCAATGTAGTCCAGTCCTGCAACATCATCTTAAGTTTTAAGTACACCTTTATTTAGCCACAACACTGGTAATTGGTGTCCCCGAGCACGACAAATTAAGTTCCCACAGCAACCAAAGGACAATATAACTGACTTTAGAGGAGCAGTTCGATTGATAGATAGATAGATACAACAAGAGGTGGCTAGCTTATGTGGGTACTTCGTCTTTCATTTCAGGAATCATAACCGGTCATGTGGAATTAATTCACAGATAGAATTAAAGATATTAACATCAAAAATAAAAATATGATATATTTGGATGTAACATATCTACTCACAAATGTACCTCTGATTGAAATGGATAATGACTAGTGTGAACAAGTCAACAAAAATATTAAGCTCTCAGTAGTGTGATGTAAATTTTCAATTTGATGGCGAACTCTACAGACAGGCAGATTTAGAGTGGCAATTACCTCTTCGTTAGGTCAGATGTTCAGCAGATGTCTTTCTGAATAAACTAGAAAGTGATCTTTTAAACATTGTGATGAAAAGAATTCTTCTCCAAGTTTTGGTTTGTAGGAATTTTATTTTATTCTATTTTATTTATTTTTGATTACAGCTTGATTCCACACTGTATTTTTGGTACAAGTATGGAATTTTCAGCATGTGATATAGGTAGCCCAAATTTTGCAGGCCCACCATAGATATCAGGTATGCGTCGGCAGGGGATCGAACCTCAGACTATGTGCATGGTTGGTGAGAGTCCTAACCACTGTGTGCCACCGACGCACATGTTGATACTCAGATAACTACTAGAGTAATGATAGTGACAAAGATAACATAGATTAATTAACACTAGGCATTATAAGCGGTAGTATAATTGAGCCTTAAACGATACACATCCCTCCAATACGAATCCTTGTGTCTATACTTTTTGCTTTGCTGAAATGGTATATGTATTGTTGCATTTTGGAAAAAAGTGAATAAATAAAGCAATAATGTCGATTATGCCGAGAAATCGATATTAGATCTGCTACACATTTGGTAAGTCATTAAACGTCTATAACACGTGAAACAATCCAGACATTAACAATACCACCTGTAAATACTTAATATTATATCAGAATAACATTTTTGAAGAAAAAAAATATGCATATATCTACCTTGATATTTCTTTCTTGTAAGCTTTTTGCAATTTGAAGCGCTATTTTGCCATCTGCATGACTATAACTAATCATGACATGACCATTTGACTGAGAAGAACTTTGATTATCATCTTTCACTTTATGAAACGTTTCATCGACTATAAAACAATTTGAATTTTAAAAAAATAAAGAAAAAAGAAAACGGTTTTTTTATTATCATTGCCTCAAATAACAATGGTGTGTAGATGTGTGAATACAGAAGCGTTAAGATTATGTGTGTATGTGTAGACTGATATCTGACACCCACCACCCCCCCCCCACACACACACACACTCACATGCTAAAATGAATGAAGTATACCTCTGCTACTGAAAAATGAATATTAAGAACAGATTATTTAAGCATAAAACCTGGTGTTTGGCCTTGGAGACAGAAAGATATATATATATATATATATATATTAAGACCATGAGAGTTGGAGGGGTTGAACGAACTTTTTCTGTACACAGAGATCTGGCTTTTCTGTTTCGATAGCCAAAGCTTCAGCAATACAGATGAGTCGGGTACGTAGGGATTTAGGTAAATTGCTCTTTGCCTTGCAGATGACTTTAAAGGCGGAGGCTATAGAGATAGGGTGATCATTTTCGACCAGATGTTCTATGATCGTGCTTCTTATTGCTCCACTTCCACCTTTTCGTAGCCATGCAGGATAATGTTCTTGCACCCTCTTGGAAAAAACTCGAGTCGAACGACCGATATACCTAGCTCCACAAGAGCAGGTGAATTGATAAACGCACATAGAGTTGGTCAACATTGGGATCTTGTCCTTCAGGTTATTGAACAATAATGGTCGGCTAGTAAAAGCTATTCTCAGAGAGGCAGCAGGGAATGTTCTTTTCAGGGACTGTGATATCCTTCGTTTCATGATATCGGAAGCTAAGTCCCCTTTGAATTCTAAGCTCATGTAAAGTATTTTCTTGGGAGCGGTTGATAAGTCACGTTTTGTAGGCTTTGAATGTATATTCTTATCTATAAAACGTGGTGGAAATCCATTTTCCATTAGGATTTTCCTCAAAGTGTATAACTCATCTTCCACAGTATCAGTGCTACAAATGCGCCGAATACGAGTGGCAAGCGACCGGACCAGGTTTCGTTTTCGACCAATAGGTACCCAGCTATAGAAATTTGTCAGTTGATCATTCCATAACAGCCTACGATAAAGGTGGAAATGGAGCAATAAGAAGCGCGATCATTGAACATCTGGTCGAAAATGATCACCCTATCTCTATAGCCTCCGCCTTTAAAGTTATCTACAAGGCAAAGAGCAATTTACCTAAATCCCTGCGTACCCGACTCATCTGTATTGCTGAAGCTTTGGCTATCGAAACAGAAAAGCCAGATCTCTGTGTACAGAAAAAGTTCGTTCAACCCCTCCAACTCTCATGGTCTTAATCCCTCTATGCTAAAATATGATAATCCCCAATCATATTTTAGCTCTACCAATTTTTCATTTTTCATTTCGTCTATTCAATTTGTATACTCTTCCTTATTAAGTCAGTTGTTATTATTACTATTCTCACTTTGAACTGTCCCCGGTATTATTTCACTTGTTCCACTTGTCATTCTAAATCAATATATATATATATACGTGGTTTCTAAGATGTTATATCCGGTGAGGGAATCGAATCATAGGTGTGAATGCATAAAATAATAATAATAATAATAGCATGAAATGCAATTAAAAACTAAAATGTTTGTGAATACAATCATAGTTAAATTTCAAGTGGCAAGATAATTAGTGTCATGCATAGAATAATTCATAGGATGGATAGAACTTCAAAAGAGTGTGCAAAGGATTAGTAGAGAAACCGAATAAAATAAAAACGTTACGTGATATTGTGTGAAATTTGATAGCATAGAATTTAACGTTGTAAAAAGGAATTGATTTAGAATGACAAGTGGAACAAGTGAGAATAGTAATAGTAACAATTGACATAATAAAGGAAGAGTATACAAACTGAATAGACAAAATAAGAAAAAAAATGGGATATTGGTAGAGCTAAAATATGATTGGAGATTACCGTACTTTAGCATAGTGGGATTCAGACCATAAAAGTTGGAGGGGTTGAATGAACTTTTTCTGTATACAGAGATCTGGCTTTTCTGTTTCGATAGCCAAAGCTTCAGCAATACAGATGAGTCGGGTACGTAGGGATTTCGGTAAATTACTCTTTGCCTTGTAGATAACTTTAAAGGCGGAGGCTATAGAGATAGGCTGATCATTATCGACCAGATGTTCAATGATTGCGCTTCTTATTGCTCCACTTCCACCTCTTCGTAACCATGCAGGGTAGTGTTCTTGCACCCTCTTGGAAAAAACTCGAGTCGAACGACCGATAGATATTAATAGACTAGATTAGAATTTCACAATGGATTCGTTTACTTGATATTCAGTAATCAAAACAAACAAATTAGCATGGAACGTTGCATCACTTCAAGTTGAAACATGTCTCAAAAGTACATAAGGAGGAAATCATCAGACACACAATATAACATTAAGATAGAGAAAAATAAATATGAGAAAAGAATAACTGAATTCAGAATAGTAAAACTCCTCAAAACTTTTGAAAGAACAAGTAATAGGTCACTCAGAATCTTTAATTATTGATTCCTAACATCTCGAAGACATCACAACCAAGTGAGTGTGAACTTCCAGTTTTTATGATTTTGAATTTCAACCTAATTTCTTATTAGACGAGTTGACTAACACTCAAAATAATATTCCTTACAAGTCAAAAGTAACTGAAAATAAACAGTGATAACAAGAAGGCGCGATTAACAGTCCACTGAGATAACGTTCAAGAAGTCTTGCCCATATGAGATGTCCGACTGTGCTTAGATTTCTTAGTGAAACTTCTTTTCATTTCTGTAACCAGTTCCAAAAGAAAAATGCGTAGAACGCAAATTAAAAAGGAACCAGAAGATTACCAGCGAATCATAACAACCAAGGATTGAACTTCAGACCTCATTCTAATTTGTAATAACAGGATGCTATAAAATGATGACCGCTGTTCCCATTTTGCTTAATTTCATCATAAATGTATTATAACCTTAATGGACTTTAGCGACTTTTGGATTGACTTGTTGGCAAAGTTAAACTTTAAGCACCGTTAACTACCAATCAGTGAATGACCTCGAACGCATTTTTGTGTATGGAATATATATAGCGTCCCGGGAGTGCGAACGCTCCAATGACCTTGAACGTATGCTAGTCGTTGGCTTTCAATTTTAGGTTGGAGTATCAACAGAGTATAGTATATTGATATGATTATGAACAATAAATTTTGTTCGAAACGTTATCCAGTAAATAATACTGTTTCACTGTGTGATATATCTAATAAACAAATTAATATGAAAGAGTATAATTCCATTGTGGGTAAAATTTATTTTGATAAAGTTTCATAATGTATTACACTAATACTTCCTGAGCAATAAATTGTGCTTGAAACATCATCAGCAAATATGACTGTGAGACTTTATCAAAATAAATTTTACCTAGAATGGAATTATACTCTACCACAGTGTCTAAGTTCTATTCTTATATCAACAGAGTAATTTAATCAAATTCTATACATGTAATTAATTAGGTCTTCTAACCCTAATAATAACCTTAATCTTCCCTGAACTAACTGTAATCTAAACCTAACCAACCCTAATATCGCCTTTATTAAGTTAACCTAACCCTAACTTGTTCGTAGCTTAAAGAGTAACTCAATCTTTCCTAAAGCTAAGCTGAAACTTGTTAAAAGTCCCATTTAATAGCATAACACTTTAATGAGCATATTTTATTGATGATGACAACATTATTTACCACGTTTCAGTGACTCATTCAGTGAGCGTTTCGAGGTCATTAGTGCTGTCGCATTTCATTGGTAGTCTGTGGTGCCTAAAGTTCAACTTGGTCGACTTGTTATCAGGAAACACTCTCATCGATTTATAGTACACAGATAATATTGCCCTTCTAAATAAAGACACCAGCACGATGTAGAGTCTTTTATTCACCTTGAGAAGAAATCTTAGCATATTTGGCATGTGATTTATTGCTGTCAAACAGATGATGCTTCATCACTGGTCTGAACCGATTCCAAGTTCAAATATAGGAAGTGAGATGGTTGAGCGTATTGGTCACTTGAATTATTTGAAAAGTTGCATCAAGCCTAATGCAGTGATTCCTGACGACATCTCAGCAGGCATACAAAAGGCTGATGTGTAATTTGGTAGTTTATGTAATCTCTGGTGTACACGTGATATCCGACTGTCGATCAAAGGATGTCTTCACTTCTTAACAGCTGGTTCAACCCCTCTATGACTGTGGGATGTGACTATTGAAAGTAGAAGATATGAAGAGACTAGTTGTCTTTGATTATAGGTGTCTGCATTTGGTCTCCCACGTCAGTTTGTATGATATGGTGAGTAATGCTGAGGCTAGGTGCAAAGTGTCAGGTAAGGAGGGAAAATGATTCGATGAGACTTCGTAGCTATATAGACTTAGATGGCACAGACACGTATTATGAATGTTAAGCCTCCGCCTCCTTGGTCGAGAAATGTTAGCTGACATAAGATTAGACTGGAAAGGAATCAGGAGGGACGAGGTGAAAACCTAGAGTTAGTACATGCAGCCTTCTACTGTCTGTTTCATGCAGTCATATAGAGAAATGTAGACTGACTGACTGGTGTCGTCGACACTAATGGCTGGAGATTTTTCGGTGGCGCAGATGTATTCGATCTTTTTAATCTCCCAGATCCACTAAATCCTCATTTTACTTCATATCAGTGTATGTATTCATGCTACACTTAACAAGTATGCTGTTTATCATGAATAAATACTTACAGAGAGAATAAGAAATCACTTAATTCCATTGTTCCTACCTACCTTTATCATTCCTTCCATGATCTGCTGACATTGGTGATGGAACATCACTACCATTGATATCGCCATCATCATTAACATTATCATCATCATCATCATCGTCACAGACATCAGAAGATATTCGAAGCTGTTTTTCAAAATTTATTATTTTCTCAGAAAATTTTGTTGCAAGTAATTTAATTTCTTTAACGGAATTCTCCAGAGTAATTTCAGAAGTAATAATACGTATGGTAAGTAATATCTCATCCTCATAGTCATTCGGTAATGTCTTCAGTAATGATTTTAAATGGCCCAAAACGCCACGTCTCATGAAAGCAGTTTTATTCTCCGTATTTAAAGCCAATATACGCAGAACTAGTATTTTGTAAAGGTCAAAAAGAAATTCACTGATATGTATTCATATAAAATTCTAATATTTCAGCAGCATATACTAGTGACTAGAGATTCTATAATTCTGTAATTTTCTATATTTGGTTTGTAAGGGTTAGTTTTGTTTTTACGAGTTGATCACGCATTAAGGTTGCGCTAAATCACGAATTGGTAGAAGTTAGAATTCATGGGCTGGTCATTGAATCGGGCCCCAATGGCCGAGTGGTATACAAGCTTGTCTCGTGACCGGAAGGTTCTGGGTTCGAACCCTCTGTGGTGGAGGCGTACTGCCGATGATTTCCAAACTAGGCTGAAACAGCTGACTGTCCAGTACTTCCTGGTTGGTTTTCAATGGTTCTCTAACTAACATCAATCCGTGATCAACTCAGAAAAATTCTGTAATTCTAAATTGACAAGTTTCTATAGTTCATGACAGTAACAAAATTTAAATAACTTGGTAATCCTAAGAAATAGCACCAATTTGAGTTAATTTAACAATGAATCTGAATTTCTGCTGGAGTAACATAGTTTGATGACATAAGGTATAATTCTTTTGAGTTGTATCACGGTTTTCGTGATTAATTCCTTTTATACCATTGTTCTTAGATTTAGAGTGATAAAAAAACGAATAAACTGAATCAATAAGTCAAAGGCTAAAGACTAGAAAACTGACCAACTTGTAAAAGTGTACCCAAGATGACCAGAATGCACCAGATAATATCACCTTGAAGAACACTTCTGGCAAACGTTTTCTCAAGTCACCTCTCGATAACTAGGTGACAGTTTTGAGGATAATGTTTATGACTAGTTTGACGACGGATTGATATCAGTTAGAGAATCATTGAAAACCAACCAGGGAATACTGGACAGCCAACTGTTTCATCCTAGTTTGGAAATCATCTGCAGTACGTAGATGATGTGGGTGCATACTACCGATGATTCCCAAACTAGGATGAAACAGCTGTCCACTACTCCCTGGTTGGTTTTCAATGATTCTCTAACTGATATCAATCCGTGATCAACTCCTCAAAACAAATCTAATCCTTACAAACCGACTATTGAAAGATAATGTTTATCCTCTGCAATTATCTCAACGCCATTAAAAAATAACATTACAGTCAGTAGTCCAACTTTACGCTCAAACTTTATTATGCAACACACTTACTACTGTGGAATTAGTTCATCGAACACAGTCTAACCTCCCTAACATGATGGAGTGGCAGTGAACAATGCGTCGGTAGCATAGTGGTTAGGACTCTCACCGACCATGCACATGGTCCGAGGTTCGATCCCTGATATCTATGATCAGCCTGCAAAATTTGGGCTACCGATATCACATGCTGAAAATTCCATACTTGTACCAAAAATACAGTGTGGAATCAAGCTGTAAGCAAAAAAATTTTAAAAAAACTTCAGTTGAACCTTTTTATCTCACCTATCATAGATAATATCACCGACTCAAAAATTAGAGTCAATGATGATTTGACACCACACCAGTAATTGTCTTGAAAGGTTACCACCTTAGTACTATTTCAAAAATTCTGATAATAACCAACCCAATAAGAACAATCTCTGAAAGTGAAGTAAAAGCTGAAACTAGCCTAAACTATTTGCCTTTCAATAATCTTTTATTTTCAATTTGAGTAACCTTCATCGAAAAACTGTACAACTAATCAGAATATTGGTTTGTAGGGTTTTGGTTGATTGGTTACAGGATTTCATCATGAGCTGACATTGGTTAGAGAACCATTGTACTCCCAGGTTTTCCAATGGTTCTCTAACCAATGTCAGCTCATGATGAAATCCTGTAACCAATCAACCAAATCCCTACAAACCAATACTTGAATACCAATGAGATGCTCACTGGCGACTGGCCCACTGGGGTTCCAGTGGGGAAGTCGTGACCAGTAGGGTGCAGCAGGTCGGGTGTGAGGACAAATACTCGCCGAAGACATTGGCTAGCGGTTGCGCTATATCGTGAATTAATCAGAATATTTTTTATGCTTAGTCTATGTGAAGAGTAAATAAATAACTTTTTTCTTAAAAAAAATATATAAAGCTTACTGAAAAACTTTATTTAAATAATTTACCTTTGTTCATCTGCTTAACACTAATTAATTCATCAATTTTGTTCTCGCTATTTATAAGTGAAGCGAAATATTTTATCAATGATTGAATAATTCTTTTTTTCGTTATTTGAAGTTGAGCAATTTCAGTATGAGTGAAACTTAAAAAAATTATTATAGTTCTCTGAATAAACAAAAGCAGAATTGGTTATCTTATCTTATCAATGAGAGATCAAACCTGAAGCTGTGAATTCATTGAACAAGTATAACGGATTATAATATTACGTAGACAGTAATCAATAATTCGCCTGTTGATTATTTCATCTTCATATAGTACTGCAGTATTCAATCCAGAAATGATAGATTCTGTCAACCAGGTGATTTTCTACTAAAGTATAAAAATGACTGATAACATACTTCAAACCTCATATAAATCCATAGTACTTGTACGATTTAGCATCCGTCGAGCTTCAGTTAAGTAAACATCAGACTTTATCATCAGCTGGGCGAAACTAATACTCACACCAATATAGGATGTTAAAGTTTGTTGAAAAGTAATAAATTTTGGGATCCATTCAAGAACAGGAGGTGGATCTGGCAGAGAAGCAGATTTAAGTAATGGACTAAATCCCAAAGGAATAGCTTTTCTTCCTAAATCACGGTAAACAATTACAAGATTTCGTAGAATTGATGGTTTTGATAATTTATTCACAGCAATATTAATACGATGCTTGTTTACATCAACTGATGCTTCATCAGGATTGCAACTGTGTAGGAATGATGATAGTAACTGATCGAATTCATCGGTATCATATTTTTTGGATTTAGAATGTGATATCAACTGATTTATGATTTCTGATGTTTTTTCAAACAGCTCATCGTCAACGCTTGTATTCATCTACACTTGAATAGGTGAGATATTGCAGTTGTCAAGATTCAGTGATGCCTGTAAAATTAATATTTGAATTTTAGAACAAATAATTATGAAAATATTCATTGGACTAGACTGTAACAGCGAAGCAAAATTGTGAGTATGCAGAACCTTAGCCAACAGTGCTTATGAAAGAAAAAAACAAATGGGACATAAGAAAGGCCTGTGATCGCAAGATTCACTACCACATACGTGAAATATGAGAGGCAACAGATACCACACTGACAACTAACAATTTCTATTTTATACAAATAAGCTCGTCTTCAGAGTAGAACAGTTTGCTGGATGCAATAAATAATATTAATTAACGATGTGATGCATATAAAAAACAAACCGATATAGGATTAATCTCATTTCACTTAGCCCTATTTGTTGAGGAAGGCTCTGGTTCGGGATACGTGACATGCGTCCTAGCCACCTCAATCGATGAAGCTTCACCAACCTACTTTTCCTCTTTACCCGTCATTTCATGCCTAAGCTCATCATTTATGACCATATTAATCCAATAAGTACGAAGGTTGAACGGAGACATCTATAGTAAAAAATAATCGTTGGTCTTTTGGTACTTTTCACTTTTAATGACCATAAAGTTTTAAAGGGAGAAAGTGACGCACGTTACGCACGCTCTCTGATGACAAGGCAGATATCATACCGGCACCGAAGATTGCACACCTTCTTTATCCCCACTTAGGACTCGTTAACAATCATTCCACTAGGGCTGATGCAACACATTTAACCACTTAAAATCCTGTCCTTAAACTAGAAGTCGTGTAGACGAGTACTATAGAGGCATCCTATACCTCGACTAAGTGGAGTTCAAGAACAACAAACCTGCGAAAACAAGGTGACTTTCACACCTAGGTGTGGCTTTGTCAATCTCCAGATCCAGGTAGACTGAGACGGTTACAGGTAACTGATTACAGATGTTTCGCGACTGACTAACGAATCAATCTAGAACTTAGCACACAGGTCCGTCAGTCGAGGCTCCCATAACTTGAAGAAGAATATAAATCAAAGAAACAGAAAATCAGTGGTACAACATTAAACATAGATGGTTATGACAAACACAACTAAAGGATGAGAAGTTTGCTATTCGCTAGCCATAATTCACCTTCGGAAGACTACAGGTCATAGATGTTCAGGCACTGCATTGGTCAAGCTGATCTCCCTGTGATCACAAGATTTTCTTTTCATAGACTACAGTGATAGAAGATTTACACCAGTCTAAATTTTTCTTGTTACTTGATAACCACGCTCATCCCCATGCAATGAGCTTAAGCAATTTTGTGAGGGCTAACGATACCACCGAATTACCCATACCTTGGTAGGTGGAGAGGGATTCGAAACTGGTAACTGGAAGTCTAGCGCAAAAATCAATAAGTCTGAGCTCCACTCGTCTTTTCACGCATTATCTAGCCAACAATTTACAACCAACATCACCAATCACCTCCAGAGTATCTGACTATCTTAGATTTCGAAATATTGCCAGGATTCGGTAGAATCATAATATGAGCCACACAAAAGTTACACGTATAGTCGAGGTAATCATAAAGTGTTTAGGTCGTGTTACGTATCCCTTTCCACTATTTGTAGAACTACAAGTGTTGGAAAAAAATGACGGTCAAATCAAAATGTACCAGCACAACGATAAAAAGTATTGATCTAAATACTAGAGATATTGCACATTGGTTCAAGCACTCGACTTTCAGTCGATGTATCCTGGATTCGAATTCCACTAAACTCAATTCAACTCGGTCAACTGGGTATTATAATTAAATCTTACGTAATAAGTTTGGCTCATAGCCTGGCACACGTAAAACGTTTCAGGTAAATGAGTTCTGACTAACTAGGAGTCAGGAAATACAGGCTGCTTGGCTCCGATTCAATTAACTAACAGAAGCTATGGTTGGTAAACTTAGGAGATGTGGCGTAAAATATGTCGCCCTGACGCATATGCACTTTTAGTATGTTCTATCTGTTCGCTTCAATAAATCCTGTTATATATAATAAGCAGCACCGGCTATTATTCGGCCACTGTCAATGCTGATGTGTAGCTTAAGTCTATCTGAACCATTAGAGTAGTCATAATTAGGCTTTGACCTAGTTTTATGATATCTTCCAGAATATGAAGTTTTCCTCCTAAAGTTACATACGGGATCCCTCAAGTTGTAAGTGATACTTGGTCTTCACCAAATTGGCTCTAAATATAATTACAGGACAGTGATTTATAAGAAGTTGGGAAAGAGTCATTTTTCTTAGTTCTTTTGTTAATATACAGGAAAAGTCTAGTAGGGCCGTTCTTCACTAATTAGCTGGTATCTATATGTTTTTCCAGATTTCGCTACCAACAACTTATACTGACTAATTTCCACAGTATTTAAATAAAGCACTGGTAGCCTAGTCAGAGTAGACAGGTCTTAGAAAATTTCTTCGCAGCTCAGAAGTTTTTTGACATGTCCACAGAGAGCAGGTTGTTGGTCTACAATGAATCGTTCAAGTAATTACTCTGGGAACACGTAAAATTATTAACTTATAAGCTTACAGAATTAGCTCAACCTCCTGATAAATGTGATGCTCTCAAGTCACATATCCGAACGAGGCTAGCCTAAGAATTCAGCTACGCCATAAACCGTGAGCTTATATAACAGCATTACATGGTCAACGGAAAGCAGACATCAGTACTATGTATATCTTATAATTCATGGGTCAACGCCATGAGAATTCACCGAGAGTAATACCCGCGTTTAAGATACTGGGTCAAGTATCAACCTGATACAATACACCTTTGCAATGGAAAAATCCATTATGCAACGCTTTCGCCAAAAGAGCTATAACCACTAATATCAGTAACTTTAGTTCCAGTAGTATACTACCGGTCTTTACCATAGCTGATAGTGGTTCTTAAACCCTACAAATGCTTCAGTAACTTCTTATAGGTGTAGAATGATCAAGGAGATTAGCAATTAAATATTCTGTGCAGTTGAAGTGTAGGTCCCCAAAACGACGAGTGCACCAATGACTTTGAACCAATCAACGACTTATAAGCATACTTTTTGTGACATAAAAACTGTATTTCCGAACCTTATTTCTGACATTGGAGTTTCTGTCCTTAAAAGTTCTATATTTGTACCACAACCTAGCTAGCATTGACTTTGACCGCAGTGCAGAATCTTTGGGGTAGGCTCTTCAGTACGCGCGAAGTCTTCGCCCCGAAAATTATTCAGTGCGCCCGAAGAACATGCTAGCTATGAAATGGGTTTTAAAAAGAGCAATAACAACTGAGTAGGAAAACACTGTGTTCAACGGCGACACCTACTCTGACATACAAGGTGAGATCTGGGCTAATATATGAAAGGCGTTTTCCAAGGGCGACTCAGTGCAAACATGTTCTGGGGATGCACTATATATATATATATATATATATATATATATGCCAACAGTAAAGAATGGACACCAACTTCAGACGACCTTGAAATAACTAATCAGATTATTCTAGGTGAAATATTTCACCTAGAATAAATAAATGAATTTTTATAAATTAGGTACCACATATGTGGTACCTATAGGTACCACATATGTGGTAATTATAATTTATAAAGAAGTGTATCTATGATATATATGTAATGGAAATGGATCATATAAGGTATGTATCCCTAATATGCTAAAGATACTATGTATCTTTAGTCTCAACAATGAGGATACAGGTTACTACCGGATGACTTTATTTCGTTTACTTTCTCGCACCCCCGAAATCCCGCTGCACTGCAACCTTGAACCTATTCTCGCGCTTCCAATGACCAATATCGTTTTTAAGAGCTAGTATAAACTAATTTGATTTCTTTGTGCTCGCTTCTTTATTGTGAGGTAAAGGTCCATGATCTTCCGTAAACTTCTGAGTAGTTCGTCCTGCCACTCGACTATCGTAGGTTGGTTGACTCCCAAAGAAGTAGTGCTGGGATTAGTCATATTTTTTGTAGTATGCGGTATGTTAAGACTGTCACTACTGTGAATGGAGTTAATCGTTTCACTAGTTAGTCCTGCGGTATCGTCGTCAAAAGAAAAGAGATAATAATGATAGATATAATTAGAGTAGGTTATTCAGACTAAAAGGACAGAAAAAGAAATTAAGAAAACGTAAAACATACAGCTAGTTAAATTTGAAGTTGATATATGTATTTACACATATAAATATATATAATATCAGTAGTAATAATAAAAAGTGTAGTAGTTGGAGTTGTCAGGAGAGTAAGACGCGAGAGAATGTAAAAAAGTCTACCGCTGAACGGTGTGTGGGATTTTAAGGGAATAGGCCATTTATACGCAATCCTTGTCTCGCTGCATGATTTTCCACAGACGGCGCCACAGCTACATATGCTGGTAAGGAGTTCCAGGGACGGCAAACCGGCAGTGAAAAAGAGTGGGAGCGCTCCTGAGTCCTTACCTTCTGGTGGGTTGCCCTTCTGGGATTCCCACGAGGAAGCCTATACCTGCTCGAACACATTTGCTTGGGTGATTCTGGTCACTTGTTATCTTGTAGGCGGTAATCAAATGCGCCCTTAGTCGACGGTAGCTAAGTGTGAATAGGCCCAATTTATTCTTTATCTAACAATATCATAATCTTTGTTGCACACTTGAATATTTAATGAAGGACGACAAAGAAAGCAAATTAAATAAGTAAGAATGGTGCATTGTTAATCCAATGCTGTCTGTTTCATCCAAAACTGAGAAATTTGTTGAGTAGGTCCCAGAACGATTTCAAAAAGGACGACGAGCAATTATTTATTAAATATAAGAGCTGATGTAGTTGAAGTTAAGAGCTTGATCGATAAGAACAACCTTTCAGATTGTAGTATATGGTCAGTGGTTTTTTCTAGGTTACAACAAGCTGGGAAGTTGACTGTAATTCGGGATGAAAATAATGGTAGAAGATAAATAGCTTGCTTCAGCTCGAACAGGCGAGTTTAAATTTACCATGAATTCGCAGAGATTGTGGGTTTCGGTTCCACCTACAATACTAATGAGAGAGAATAAGTGTATGTTCCTATGTCGTGAACAGGCAGAAGTTAGAATTCAAGGACCATTGGATCGAATCCCAGTGGCTTAATGGTATACGAGCTCACCTCGAAATCAGAAGGTCCTGGGTTCGAATCCCGGTGAGTGTGTACTGCTGGAGAATCCCAAATTAGGACGAAACAGCCGTCCAGTACTCCCAGGTTTTCCAGTGGTTCTCTAACTGATGTCAGCTCATGGTTAAATCCTCCATGCAATCAAACAAAATCCCTACAAAACCAATACTTGAAAATAAGTGTAAATGTCTCCTAAATCCAACATTTTAGTTTGTTGCTGTCTTCATATAACCAGCGGAACGAACTGGAGGAAAACAGGTGAAACCTCACTGAGGACGTGGAAAGGCCCTCTTTAAGGCCACCCCATGCTTGATTTCGTTGACTTCATCGGTTTCGCTTTAAAAATGTAGGATTGGATGGTTAGGGTAACTGTTTCAGGCAGACGCTATATTCAACCGTCACATGCCTATAGTTAACTTCAGCGCTATCTTAAAGTAGCTACGTTGTTTTGGATGACCCGTTATAGGAATAGGCAGCGTACGTTCATTATTTCCAAATGTATAAGGGTTAGGTTCTTATTCTTGAGTACTTTATTAGGCAGACCCATAAGCAGCGAATTCTAGGAAATTACGTACAACGGTGGCTGTGCATGGCTACACTTGTTCCGTGTGCACTTGCCCTCATCTTTGGTATGAAGCAATGCACTGGAGTTACTTTCATTACAGTTTGTTAGTTCTTAATGGATGCATAAAACCATAAGTAATTTGATATCCTGAAGTAGATATCCAAATGCTGCGGTTACTGAAAATAAATGTGACGGATATTAACTAGCACTACATGGTTCAGAAGCTTTTAAAAAGTCAAAGGATACGCAAATCAAAAAGTTCAATAAGTTATTAGAGGGGAGATCTTCATTTGAGAACGATGATATCATCAATCCAAAGTCAACAGTCAATAAGCGCATTAGAAAAGCGACTAAATTTCAGTAGCATTAAGTAAAATAGACAGAACGACAGTTGATGACGTACGAGCACAATGTGTACTGACTTTAAAACGACTAAAACGGGGAAAACCTGATCCGATGGGTATAATTACGGGATGTCCATGATTTTTAAGAGAACTTTAAATAAACTTTCCTTGAACCATTGGTTTTCTTTTTTGGCGAAGCATTTCTTGACAAGATTAAACGAATAGGTGGAAAAGTAGTTGCTCTATGGCTAAGAACAGTGGTCATTGCGTTCCGGATTAATATCGAGTGTCTAACTGTTATAACCCTATCGAAATAGCATTTTCTTCATGGTCCATTACAACATCTAGAAATCATAACCACATTGTCTTCGGTAAATTTATTTTTACTTTTCAAGTGACTGCAAATAGTGAGTCACTTGAGGTGATAGGACAGACACCTCTGAACACTTTCGTGGAGATTAGGATATATTTACTTTTTCGCTTAGAAGACTATCTTTTTACCAAGCAAGTTCTCGGGATGTCCACTAACAATTTGTAATTTGAAGATAACGTTAAGTTGCTCACTAAGGTAGTGGCTACAGGAGATTACCTTCAGCAGAAACTGTATTAATGTAGCTACGCAGCTTTAGGTAATGCATCATAGAACTAACAGCGTCTGAATATATTAAACTCTGTATAACTGGTTAAATAGTGGTTCTCATATACGATTTAGTTTTATAAATAGTGAATGCACCGTACAAGCGTTCACTCTGGTTTCCACACCTAGCTCACAAACATTATGCCTGCATACAGTATACATTTAAGACTGATACGCTGAGTGGTGGGCTCTGCGAAACATGCTATTTTCACGATAAAATCAAGAACAACAAGTCAAGCAGGAAAAATTGGTATCATTAAAGTCCATTAGCTATAAACAAATGCTTGAAAGCCTAGGTTTATTAATTACCATAAATCAGAAGTGCAAACACTGCAATTGTTGATCATAAACTTGATGGATATCAGAAAACACCACATAACTCAACGGCATACTGGAAATAAATAAAATTTGTTTCTTAGCTCATTGTCAAGTTAACAGTATATTTGATGATGTCATGTCATATTAACAGATTAATAAACTAGCTACTAAACGTAAATTACCATATTTACTAGTGAAACACACTTGGCTCGCAACTGGCTAGATAAAGCGACTTTAGCGTATCGAACAGTAGAGAATTATCATTCAACTTGCTAAATCCTTCTTAGTTTTTATAATGTGCTATCGTATAGAAATACGAGCGGAATCCTATGAATGACTAAAGTAACAGTCTCATAATACTACAGTAAATCTCCATTCTACTAACTGAGTATAACATGCAGTCATCCGAATTCACATATTACAAAAGCACACAGCGTAGTGACGGATTGAAGAGGTCCTGAAGAATTGGAAATTAAGAGTGTGGTAAACATTTCATTAGATTACGAAAGAAAATTCTGATGAAGGGCATTAGCTTTAGTTTGACCGAAAGATATTTTCTCCGACTCAAATAAAAAAACACATTTTCGAACTGTTCCGCTACAGGTGTTCTGTTTCTGCGTGAATCATTTTTCCTCACATTATCCAGTTATCCATAGTCAACAAGGATTGCATTGTATCAGCTGGAACAACATATAGCATTCACTCGTGAAATCTACATCAGGAATCTTCGGCCACCCTATCTAACCACGTGGAACTCAGGACTTCATCCACAGCAAACTCTGTAAAGGAAAGTCTGACTTTTTATTTTGCAATATATATCTGTTTATCGTTGTTCTTTTGATACTTCGATAATACAGCTATCTTATTTTTATATCCTCAAGACTTTTTTTCCGGAAATTGTGAAGTTTCTTGTTTCTGTAATGGTTAAGCCTATCAAACGTGTAAGTACCGTTAAGAGACTGAGATCTAATACTAGTCAACCATCTGAAGGCCTCAGCTCCGTTGACGATTCTACACTTTTTACACCACCCACACCCAGAGTTATGGTATCTGATATCATGGAGGAACTGACAGAGAATGCGGCTTGTAGCAAAAGTGATTTACCGACACTTCAGAAGTCAGTAGCAGAACTACAGAGCAAGTTTGATAGCATTATGCCTCTCACGCAACTGTGTGACCCATCACAAAACATCTGTCTTGAATCACTAATCAAATCCGAGCGCATAATTGACTATTTGGCTGAAGAAGCTGTTAAGAGGATTATGTCCTCACACAACGTCTTGGCCTATAACATTCCAGACAGAGAGCCGATTGCCAAACTTAAGAATTCGTGTCTAAATGGTTGTAATATATCGTTGACAGAATATCAGGTTTTGCGTCCTCGTAAGAAATCTACAAGCACCCGTGTCCGGTGCTTTTCAAGTTGAGGGCTACTGAAGAAGCCAGGAATTTTCCGAAATCTGACAAGAAAATAGGCTCTTCAACAACATACACTAACATTAGGGTTGCACCTGATTTAACACCATGCCAAAGACGATGCCGCCCAGGAACACGGAATGCTGATAATTCTCATAAGAGAACTGTCAATGTAGTTGAAGACTGAACGATCAATTCATGGTTGTTTGCTCAAAACCAACTTCCCCAATTTTCGCGGAGGCATCAATACGACAGTCATCGTCTCATCGGTCGCTGTTCAGAAAGAAGTCAGCAGAAAACCGTCAGCAGTAATATTGTTTACAGTTTACAGTTTATTTAGGATAGTAGGCTATATGCCTGT